ATTTTGCGGAGATAGTTGTGGATAGCCGCACACACAATGACAATATTTCTTTACGTTGGAAATGGATATGGTGACATTGTCTTTAAAATAGGAAAACGTGTTCTTAGCACACCAAAACTTCGTTCAACTACATTTCTTACTCGAGCATGAGCTTGATTAAACTTTTCTTCCTTTGATCTCGCACGCCCACCAGATCGAAAGTCTGACAACCAATATCGCACATTGCGGTAAGGTGTCAAAATCCACGAGTAAGAGGATAAGCTGCATCACCAAGATAATATTTTCCTACAATAAAAAAATATTGAGTTTCAAACATCCTTAAAAATAAAAAAAATTTTCTTAAAAATATACATGATCATAATTAACATTTACCTGGTGGGGGAAATGGAAAATTACTCGTCGGATCTCGCATAGTTTCTGTAAGTACTCTAGAGTCATATGCTGTCCCTTCCCAACCAGCCCACAGAAATGTGTAAACGATATTAAAATCACATATTGCAAGAACATTCTGAAAGCAATCACCCTTGCCTCTCCCTCGATATGGAGTCTGTTGGTCTCGTGGTATGACTGCATTTACAAGGGTGCCATCTAAAGCTCCAATAGCACCCTTAAAAAAAAAGAAAAAAAATTAGTGCACTATGTATTAAATAGATTACTACCATTATTTAATTAAAATAATCAAAAAAATAACATTCAAAAATCACCGGAAAAAACGTGTCGCGAGTTCGGCGTAGACGTTCACTGTCGAATACACTCGGATCAAAATTGGGGACAATCATATCCTTTGAAAATGTAAGCATAGCTTCAAGCACTTCATAAAAGTACTTGTGAATTGTTTGAGTTGAATGTTGATATCTTCGCTTCACCGCACGGTTTGTATGGTGCAAACACATACCTGTAAGAAACATTGCGATCTTTTCTTCAGCTGAGATGTATCTACTATCTTTTATCCACTGTCTACTCTGAAAGTAACCACAAAGGTGCATAAAAGCAGGCAATTCCATTCGTAGCATATCTAAATCATGGCTTGGATTTCCACCAATAAGTTCATCAACATATGCACTGCCAGTTAATGCTGAATTTGTATCAGGTCGACGTCCAATGCGTCTAATCCTTAACTTTTTTAGAATCAATATTATTGCTAAGATCTTTAAAATCTTCCTTTTCTTTTCGGATAACATCTGTTCAAATAACACATCAATGAATCAATTTAAACAACTGAAAAAAAATATTAAAACTCAATAATGAATAATCATTAAATCTCAAATTACAACTTATTCATTGCGAAAAGAAATAATGGAAAAAGGAGAAAAAAATTAAAAACTCCAAAAAAAAAAAAAATCAATGGCAAAGTATCATGAATTTCTACATTCTAAAGTAAGCCTAGCTTTTTTCCATTCATCGTTATCCAATTTTTGCGAATTTCTTCAGATTTTGTGCTTAATCGAATCCATTGTTCTCTATAGGCCTTGCCCTCACAAAAAATGGAAGCAGCAGCTATGTATACTGAGTCTGTGTCTTCTAATGATTCCATTTCATCTAAAATCTTATTGCACTCGTCCATACTTAGTCCATCTGATTCCTCCAAAGTTTTGAGAACCGTTGCTATATGATCATCCATATCATTCAACTTCCCAGAGTTGTTTTTCTTTTGGCGCTTGGCTTCCTTTTTTCCTTTTTCTTTTGGTTGAAATGAACTAGATGGTTTGTCTTGATTATTTTCAATATCAATGATTGGTGGCTTGTAACCATCAGCTGGCAACCCTTCCTTTGAAGGACCCCAACCATCTTTTCCTGTAGCTCCCATGCCGTGAAATAATGCAATCATTTCATCTGCGTAGGGCAAAGGACTGTATCGAAATTGTTTTGCTTCTGGATTGCTCTGCATAATAAGGTAAAATAATTTAAATAACTTATACTTGTAGTGAATTACGTTGATTTGTATAACATAAATTACATGTATGTATGCGTCCCATTGCTCTGGACTCCAATTTATTGTGTTTGTTACTTCATCATAGTGAGTGTTTCCTATAATTCCTATAAGTTTATTCCATACTTGAGTTTTCCTCTTCAGAAAGTCCCATTCATTTTTTAGTTGCTTTTGTGTTAGGTTAACACCAAGTTCCATCTTCAATGTCTTCCTCATACTCTCCCAAGATTCTTTCTTTAAACTTCCTCCAGAAATTCGTCTAGCATTTACTTCATCAAAACACAACTCTATGTAACGTTTAAATAATTTTGGATCTTTCCAAGTGACTCTCGAAACCGGTTCTTCTTGTTTCATCCTGTTGGATACATTTCATTAAGTATTATTTATATTACATTAAACAATAAAGGTGTCCTTAAGAATAATAAAAGACCGAAGAAATAGACATCATATAAAATAAAATTTATTACAAGCTAAACTTTCCCATGATTAGAATCCCAAGTTCAAACATTTGTGATTGCATGTTGAATTTGAGTATAATTTTCTATAGAAACTGAAGCTATCAATTAGCCATACCACGTGAAATTACAAAACCACACCCAAATACTACCCAATCAAGTTTGCAAGTTCTTTAATCAATTCATAACATACTCCCTCAACAGTATCTCTCGCATTTCCCATGCCTCACAGACACAACCTTTCTCTTTTCCTTTCTTGAACACAAAAATACCACCCCTCCCCACATAACCAATACGATTTCATGCACACTCCATTGTTTTTTTAAAGAATCAATTTCTTTTGAAAAAAATGAAGAAAGATCAAGTCATCATATTTGCCAACAATGACCATCATGTCAGCATTATAACTTCATAAATAAATCAAAAGTTTAGATGCTTGACAATGCATGCACGTCATGAGTCTAACTACTAACCATATTCTCACGAGAACCAACCATTGCAACTACATAAATAATTCAGAAAGTTCACATGGTAATTTATACACATCATAACCTAACTCCCTCTCAAACAGAAGTATACACAAGAAGGTCAAAAATCAAAATGGAGTACTAAACCAAAACCAAAGATATCAGAGACTCCAAATATAAAATGATGTCTTCCATAAATCCAAAAACTAAATCCATACAGAACAAGAAAAAAAAATGATAAAGCCACCCACTTAATTTAAATTGCTGAAATAATCAAATTCTTAATTCAACAAGAAAAATTATGGAGTTAAAAGAGAAAATTACATTTCAAAAGCAGCGTCGACCAAGTTATAGCCTTGAAAGAGGGTCCAAAAACAGGTTCGTCAGTGTTCCTCCGTGCGTCTCACAAGCTATGAGCTATAAGTTACCGCAAGAACTCAAAATAACTGAGCAGAAAAAACACAAACCTCCAGATTAGAATTATGGAAAGGTCCAAAACAATAGTGACAAACAGATTTAATTTTGGGCATTCAATTAGAAGCAAGTGTACATCACAAGAATTGCAAAATGGATACATGCTAAATGAAATCAGATTTCCAAACGGCATAAAAAGGGAAAGAGAACCCACCAATACACACTAGTTGTGATGGATTTTCTTCTGATCTTTTCAATCTTTTGTTTGAAGGATAAAAGTCCCTCGCTTCGATGAACAAGAGGAAGAAGGCTGCTAGTCTTTGCGTTTTTCAAGAAAAGGTTTGGAAAGGAAAAAGGGGCAAGGGTTTAGATTTCACTCTCTCTTTTTATTTTCAACAAATCAACAACGATCTAAGAAGCCCATCGGTAAGATAACCAAGAGTTTGATGTTCTCTCATTTGGTTCAAGAACAATGATACAGAGAAAGAAGGATGACAGGCCAGGGGTTTATATTTCAATATGATTTTTAGATTTTCCTCTAATTAACAACTTCCCGATGATCAAGAGATTGCATAGGAAATTGAAGATTATATTTTATCATTCAAAATCGTTGAGATTGCAGCAAAGATTTTAGTTGAGGGGATGAGAGAGAACCAAGATTTTAGAGGGGAGGACGAGAGAAACGATGATGTATTTGGGGTATTAACGGTATATAGAAAATAGACTTTTAATTCTAAACACTGACCGCGTTCAGAGATCAGTGTTAAGTAAAATCCATTTCACTTAATTTTAGGGAGTCAGTTAAACGTGAAAGTTAAGTGGCACTTTTTTGGATAAGATATTTTATTTCACGTTATCAAACAGATTAACTTAGATAAGCTCTGAATTTATTAAGTTTAAGTGCTTAATTACGTTATCAAACAGAGCCTTAGTATCATTGCCAATAAATACATCAAGATAGTAATAAAATAAAATTAAAACGCCAATGATATCCAAAGGTACTACAAAATCAGCGAGTTTAGTAAATGTTAATACTATTTTTCCTTCTCTTTAAGAATTGAATAAAAAGAGCTATAGCTTCATAAGCTTTTCTTCCAAACACCTCTTTCTTCTGCCCTTTTGTCTTGATAGTTTTGAAGAATGAATTGAAATCCATCAAAACCCTTTTATAGAATAGTATGCTGGACTATACTCAGTGGCGGACCTAGAAAAGAAATTCAATGGGGCACATTAACACTATCAATATAATTTTTTCCAAGTACTACTAAATATTATAACTTCCTCATGTTGTTTTATAGGTTTTTTTTTTTTTTGGATAGATAATTTCAAAATACATAACTACAACCTATACATGAAAAGAAACAAATATTTATGTAACGGTTCCTATATGATATAAAATGTTATGCAACAATGTTAATAAGTAAATGTAAATTTAAAATATCATATACCACTTAATTTTAATAAAATCAATTGTATTTACGTTATACAATAATCCCTTAAGTTAAACAAATAATTAACCCAAGGAAAGAGATATGCATATTGGATCTACTTTGGGCTTTCTCCAAATTTTTAAGAAAATACAAATAAATTTTGGGCTAGTTTAGTGGGTTGTTTGTTTCTTAAACACAATATCCTATTAATTCTTTTTTTAATTCTCACTTAAAAACATTATTATGCCAATTAAAACAATGATTATTTAAAAAATATATACAATATATTATTAAGGAGACCAATCTAGTGGGGGCACATGCCCCCACACTGTCTCCGCAAGTGACAATAATCCTCACATTGATCTATTGTGTATCTCGTCATATACTGTCAAACAAAAGATAGATGTTTATCTCGTTGCTTCAAAACCATAATTTTGAAAATCCAATTAAAATAGTAATGCATATTGTATTACACTCACCATGTTTATCAAACGTCTCTTTCAATGTATTTATTTAATCATCCTCAAATACATCAGCTGCAATGTATCAAAAGAAAATCACATGAAGATCAAAGGAACATAAACAATTCAGAGAAAAAATTAACCTATGGATTGGACATTGAAATTCTTGAAGATAAGTGAAACTGGAGGTTGGATCTTCATATTTTGATCCCAAAAACTCCTTTCCATGACTTTGTAATAGTTAACATTAGTTAACTTAGAATTCTCCCTATGCACATAACATCTAACGTAATTCAAGAAATTACACAATTTTAATCTAACTCTAAAAAGCGATCCAATACATTCAAAATTGTGCAAGTAACTCAAATCAAAGTCTCAAAGGAAACATAGAATGATACCTCTTTTATACCAATATCCACTTCTTAGTTCAATAAAGTTTGGGCTAATTCAGGATCATATATTTCAGTTATTAGGAGAATGTAAAGAAAAAGAATATCAATCAGTTTTGGACCAGTGATATAAAAGACCATGTGCAAAACATGACCACTCCGAACAGTATAACCAGCAACAGAGTTTTCAAATTAAAGTTTATGCAAATGGTAGTGAAGAAGAACACTAAGAAAAATAGAATAGCATGATCATAAGGGCTAAAGCCATGCTTACCGTTGCAATGACGGGTTTTGGAAGTCGGCGAATTTGAACCTGCAAGTCCAAAACGTCGAGTCGACCAAAATTGTCGTAGTCGGCATGGCCATTTTTGCCTCTAAAGGATTGATCAACACCATTACAGAATGGCCTCGTACCCAGCATCCCATAAATTAATTCTTTGTCAGTAGCTTACAATTGCAGAAACACAAGATTCTGAATGAATTAACATACAGAGGATCAATAGCGTTCCATTGAAGATGATCACTCCGATCTCGATGTCATCCCTGGCAGCGTTGAATGCCTTCGTAAGCTCTTTCACTGTTTGTGGCTTGAAAGAGTTCCTTCTTTCTGGTTTGTTAATTCTAATGCTTTTAATTTGTAGAAACCGAAGTTCAAAAAAATGTGTAACCGTTCTCCACGAACAGAACATGACAGCGGACGCATTAGCAAAATTTGACTTTTCTTGTTCGATAAGGATACATATTTTGTCAACGTTTCTTTCTAAGATTATCGATCATTTAGAAGCATATAGGTTATCTTCATTCTGTGACTAGAGGGATGGTCTGTACTTAACCTCTGGCTTCCATTTCGTTTTTTTTTTTTATATATATAATAAAAAAAAAGTGTGTAACGGTAAGCCGCCTGTTATTCACAAAGAAAGAAATTCGTCGCATATCAATCAGAATTCTACACCATAGGCTGAAAAAAAAAAATAAGGAACTCCATTAACACAACAACAGATTAGCATTCAAGGCCGTTCAAAACAGAAGATTTTGAGTATTTCTGGAGTAAATATCATCAAAGAACTAAGTTTCTGAAACAGTAAAAAGGACTGATATGAGAAAAGAAATCAATGACAATAAGTTGCACTCGAAAGTTTTGTTTATTCCTAACCAAAAAAAAAAAAAATGAGATGGGAAAATATGACCTTGAGACGTTTGTGTTACAGTTTGGTGGACACATTAAGAACGTCCTTGATTTATCACTTAACTAACACAAAAACAAACTTCCATTGTTTATGGATCATTACGACAAAATGCAGCCTTTGCGAAATGTTGGTATCCTATAGTTATATATTAAATTAATACAAAATTTGGCTGTGAAAAAGGAATCCCTGGCACTGTGACTTTGGTTCATACAAGTAGAATATGCGGAAACAAAATTCTGGAATTATATCCTGTTTTTCTATCCCTTGGATTTTTTTAAGTTGCTTAATGCTTATCACTACAAGAAACGTAATCATTACAATGATCTTATTGGTTTCTTGGATCAGAACAATACCAGAAAACCGGTGCTTGATCAACTGAAAAGAAATTGCATGAGGAGTCGACATGATCCACTGAAAACTGATTTGGTTCGTCCATTTTCACATACTGCTGGTGATGATGGTAATCCTTCACCATTCCATCTCTTGAATCCAGCAAATGGGGATGATAAACTGGAGGTGCAGAAACAGATAAAGAGAATGCAGCAGAGTGATCTAATCCGCCATTATTAGTACTATTATTATATGTCATCGGATAAGAAGAAATCAGCTGCACGTTCAGATTATTTCCACCATTGCGATCTTCATTTAACACTCCTCCACTTGAATCACTATCTGAAAACCCTTCTTTGAAATCAATCTTCCCAACATTGTTGTTTTTCTCCGATGCACATAAGTTTGTGTTTCTGTAAACTTCATGATGATGATGATTCTCGTACATTAGTCCTTCTGTTACGAGGTTTGGAGAACTCTGTTTTGTCTCTGCATTCTCCTCTCCCAATTTCTCTTTCAAATCCTTCAACTGTATTTAAAAAAAAAAATAACCCAACAAATAATAACTGTATGAGTTAAATTCTAATGCGAACCTTCGATTAATAACTATTATTTTGGAACGGAAGGAGTAATTTTATGTACCTCTGCGACTAGGCCTTGTTTCTCTTGTTCAACTTTGCTGTAACTGAGTTGAAGAGCTTCATAATTGGCCTTGAGCAGATGATAATCTCTTTCCAATTGCTTAGTTTTCCAACGGGCACGACGATTTTGGAACCAAATCGCAACTTGTCTTGGCTGGAGGCCTAATTCTTGTGCCAATTTGATCTTCCTTTCAGGGTCAAGTTTGTTATCAACTTCAAATATTCTCTCCAGTGCCTGAACTTGATCAATGCTCAATCTCCTTTTTTTGCCACTGCAGTTGATTACTTCAATTCCGTCTTCATCATCTAAACCATCCAGCATTGCCTGAAAATCATTGCTGTATCCCATGCTGTCCTTCATGTTCTTATCTGCTTTTCAACAGAATTATGCTTCAGTTAGCAAACTTAGTCATTATTTTCCCATCAAAACTGGAAAGTATTGCTAAAAACTTCCCTACTCTGTTTCTCTTCTGTTTTTTTCCTTCTACTCGTTCTGCAATTTTCAGGAAAAAAAAACTCCAGCCATGCAAAATTCAAGTTCTGAACTTTCTATATATTCTCACAAATTTCTTCCTGGTTAATTGTTTGAGTTTGAAATTCAATCAATGATGAAGCAGAATTACAGGCACCCTGGCTACTCATAACAGACAAAACGAAAACTCTGGAAAACTTATTATGGTGGAATAGATAATGTAAAATTACCTGGAGAATCCACGTACATGGGCCTGTTCATAACCTAAATGAGTGAAAACCTTTCTCGAGAGATAGAATTGAAAGAGCCCTTTTTCCCCTTTGATTCTTCCAAGAAATGTAATTTGAGTTCGGGAATCCTCAGAGAATATAGTGTGTGACTATGTGCACATATTCAGTGTTTTACATGAACGCCAAAAGAATCAGGCCCTCAAACACTATAACAACATGGAAAAAAAAAAAAAAACTGGCTTTCTAAAGAGTGGACAGAAGTCAAGTGGGAACATAAGAAAAACTAAATAAAGAACTGGACCTTAATCATTAGCCAATCAATCCCAAGAAAACCAAGTTAAAAAGAGAGAGAGAGAGAGAGAGAGAGAGAGAGAGGAAAAGAAGAAAGGCTCTTCAAGTCTAAAGGTTCTCTCAACAGTAATAAAGTATTGTTTTTGCTACACAGCTACTTCTCCTTTTTATATATGATGTGAAACAATTACTTTTGACAAATGAAATTCTCCTTTTTAGTATTGGATTTTTGTGTGTCCCATTGTTTTGGGGTACGACAATTTCTTTCTTTCAACTTGATGTGCTAGTGAGAAAGTTGAGGTAACCAATTAAGCTATGATGGATTGGATCAGTTTGGTCCAAGCGGTAAAAATATTTTAATTATATTGGCTAAATTTGAATCTTGGTATAAACTTATGACGGTAACTAAAATACTTGTGTTGATAGATTCAGAGTAATCGAGATAATGACTTCAAACACATTATGGAATATCAAAAAAGAATTTGAATAGTGTATAATAGAGGAAAGCATTTGACACTTTTAGAGTAATACATTTAAAAGGTTAACGAAAGGATCCATTCATCGATTCAAGAACTATTACTGTAACTCAGTAAGAGTGTACATTAATCAACCTTGTCGTTCATCCATAAGTTTCCCACTATCATTTAGTCCCTATAAAACTAGTAATGTAGTTTAAGTTTAGTGGTATTAGTCCAATAATTACCAATGTTGAAGATCAAGATATATACATGGAAAATTGGAGGGTTTATGAATTACCAAAGGAAGCTTACACCAACTATTTCAATGCTATCGTTGCAGTTTATACATCATTTAAAAGGATGCAATGTTATCTTCACTAACAAAGACCACATGCTTTCCTTATCAAGTAGTATTAATCACGATCCAAGAAATTATGAGATTATCGTTTCACTAATGAAATATCGAAAACTAGTTTATCCTGACCTCAACATGCAGCACATGGCATGATGCTATAAGCTAGCTAGTTAGGGGGACCTTTTAAGCGCATCATATTGTGTATGCTAGAATGTTACAACCAAAATTCACCAAATGAAGTCAATGTGGAATAACTAGAAGCAAAATTGATGGTCGGCTATAGAAAGGCAAAGAATTTGGTATTACACCACTTATTTCACTAGCTGGTAAACCAACAAAAATTGAATAAATTTCATGAAGATTTTCACCAAATCCATAGTAAAGCTACGTCCACAGAGCCAGGCTGTATGCATGGCTAGATAGAGCAGAATTACAGATAGAAAGAGAGAGGTTGAAGAAGAAGATGATGATCTCTCTAATAAGCCATCTGCCAAAACTGAACTTTGCCACCAAACTCACATGGTGTGTTATTCTCTTCCTTTCTATACATTGCTTCCAACTTTCAGTCACACTGCAATACTTCACATGGGTTGCCCCCCCTCTTTTTTTTCCCTTTGTTTTTTTTGGCTAATTTTTTTTTCCCTCCTCATGGCTGCCAGTTGGGATATTCTTTGAATATTTCTTAACCTAGGAAAAAATTTTACCCCTTTTTTCCATACTTTTTTGTGTCACAATCAGGGATAGCAAAAGTAGAATCTGATTGAAAAATAAGGTGGCCTTTTTTGCACTATTGATTGGTGAATGAATGAATGAATGAATATACATGCTCATCCCTTTCACAACAATTCTAGGAGTGCATCCATTTTCCCCAGCATGGCAGCACTGTACAGAGATTTTCTTCTTGGTGTTGATCATCAAGATCTTCATGAAAATGATAGAAAATTTTGATAGAGTTATCATAGGAGATTGACAATGAATACAACTGATAAACCGATATTATATGAATCTTTTATCTCATTTGTCGTCCCAAATGATTGTTCAATTTGAATTTTTACTTTTACTTCAATTTTGAGACTGGACGAGTAATTTCATCTCAACAGTCCAACAACATTAACTTTATAAATGTGCAGCACATAAATTCTATTTTCTATTGTAATACATTATCTTACATTGGTATAAAATGTCTTGTTACATGTCATGTTTCATAAATATGAGCACATTTGGTCGTTTTTTGGGTAGAACGAAGAAAGTAAAGCCTAAAATATCAAATCAGAATATCTTTTATGAGTGAGAAATATCGATTATTTTTTAATAACAGTCACAAATTTATGCTGGTGAGTGGTGATGGATCATAGATATTAGATACATTGAAATAATCCTCTTAACAGGGCGCTGTTAATGATGCCAAATTGACAAGTTATGATGGGAAGGAAACCATGCCATATAAGTGTAAGCAAAGTGGATGGTGCTAAACTTGTACACGTTGGAATGAAGAGCATAAAAGAAAAGATATCTTGAAAATGTGAATTGTATTGGGCATGGACATAGGTGATTGTGAGGTGACACCCCCAAAAAAACAATTTTCGTTAGTATTCACTTGAATTATTTTTGCATGAGAAGAATCTTGAAACCCTTCAACTATCCTTTTCTTCTCGTCCTTATTGATAACTTCCTTCTTAGCTAATCAACATGTATGGCCTCTTCTTGTCAGAGTTCACATTGTTTTCCAATTACCGACCAATAAATCAAGGTATATATATCACAAAAAAAAAAAAAGAAAGAAAAAATGTTGATTTTATTTCAATTTGATTTGTTCTCTCTCTCTCATATATATGGCCATATGCATGGTTGGGAGTATACTGTAGTTGGTGAAGGTTGGAAAGAGACAGGATCGCCACCTAACAATTGACTTAAAAAAGGACATTAATTCTTTGCACCTTCCCTTATTTTCCTCTTCAACCATGAACTGTACTGCTAGGCTTTTCCAACATGGTGTCACCCCCCAAATTCAATTGTTCAGAAATGGCCATTTTCTCGCGGAGAAGGAAGAATTGGGTAGAGTTTGTCTTCCTGTGCTTTGGAAAATTTCGGCTAAATTTAATGCATGGCTCTAAATGTGATTGAAAGCAGGACATGAATTTAGATGAAATATACATACCCCTTTCTAGGTTGACCTTAGGTTTAGTCGAAACGTGGAGTTTTCATATGGTTGTGATCTTTTTGAGCATGTTGATTTCTTCCAGAGATGCAACTTTGTTGTTTTATGAAAATGAAAATGTACTATATTTTGAGGGGAAGGATGGCTACAATGCGACATAGTTTGCAGTAGGAGGAAATCAAACTCTGTGAATTCTCACATGACTTGGTACTGCCACACAGTTAGAACTTCAGCGGGATTCCACCATTTTACCGTATAGAAACTCTTATGATACAAAATGAGCAACACCAAAATCTTATACCAATAATATTTGAAGTTCGTGTTACATCGATTGAGATGGCAATACGCCATGTCCTCGTGGAATTTAACTCCACAACTAGATGGCTATATGTAACCAGGTTACGGACAAACAAAATTTCCTATGGATATGTGTAACTGGTGTCTATGCCTAGGTTCGTGTTAAGTAGAGTGTATATTTGTAAGGCCTACAAAAATTCATACGTTAATTAATCAGACGTATATGGTTAACCTAAGGCCAAAACTTTTTCATCTACTACCGGCACATTGAAGAAAATTAAGGTTGTTTCTCTCTGTTCTTTTACGCTACTGTGTCGATCTTTAATGCCTAAATGGTACTACATCAGGCCAACTCTCAGGCCTTCTGCAACATCAATCGTCATTTTCAACTCCAAATCTTCACTCTTTCGAGGTCAACATCAAGTCTTCACTTTCTGAGTAGGTTGCACAACATGAAGAAATGTCGATTCCTGCCACCTCCATTGCATTGCACACCCATTGTGGCACATCACCTTTTGGGAACTACATTATTGATCATGATGTTAAAAATACACACAATCCAATTTTTAGCACTGTCAAAACTCTTAAGAGGCAATAACTTCACGCAGGCATACAAACCAATTGAAGACAAAATTATGCTTCTAAAAAAAACAATAGCAGTATAGGTCAAAGACAGTACCATTCTCTGCAGAAACTTGCAAACAAACCTGCATAAAAAAAATGAACAAATGGAGGTCAGAGGATTACATTAACCCAGGTGAATGCCTGACTTGCTTATCTGATATAAGGAAATCTCTTAGAACAAGGAATGGTTTTATATTAGTTATATTCTTCCCTTCGACACGCTCAAACCAAAGTTGAAAATTGTATGCAAGGTCTAAGAAATCTGAGGGATAACATACTCTGGAAAACGTCCTTCGACAATCGATGAGTGTAGGTCCCTGCTCAACTGCAAGTTTAAATAAGGTTCATGACTTTCTCTTATGTTCACGATTTACACAAATAAACAGCTTGTTTGTAAAGGTTTCCTTAGCAGATACCTTCATCATGTAATGTAGGTTGTGATATGATAGAAGTTGAGACCCCATAGCATCTTTTGTGACTAGGCAATGGATATAAGCCCTTGTGTACTTTTTACAGACCTACATTCAGCAACATAAGCACCAAGATCAATGATCACTAAAACCTGAATCCAGGAGTAACTTGTGTTTTGGTGGTTGACATACCATACACTCACATGTGGGATCAATTGGACGAACATCAGTAGCCATTGCCTGATGTTTCAATTTTAAGACACCCTGCATTTAGTATTTAAATTCTATGAGATAAAAAATGTTTTCCAAGAAGGAGGCTAACTTGGAAGGGGGAGGGGGGTGGGTTAGGAATCACAACATTACTTGAATGCCATAAAAGAAACATGTTTATGTGTCACAAGTATTCTTACATGGCAATGAAAACTAAACTTTAACTAAAAGGGAGATATCTAAAGTCTCTGTTTATCTATGGTAGAATCACATAGTACAGAAGACAAACTAGACAACAGCCATTGTAACTCTTTGATGAAATGAAATTCTTATAGACATAATAGACTCGAAAAGACATTCACATCTGAATTTACTTGCCAATCATGTAGTATAATTCCCGATATAAAGTGAGAAGTAGTCACCTCAGGAATGAGAGCTGTGCCGAATCGAGCTGTGCGTGTGGGATAAACGCAATCGTACATATCAGCACCTAATGCACTACAAACTACAATATCTAGCGGGTAACCAACACCCTGAGAGAAAAGGCAGCAAAAATTTAAATTTACAAAAATAAAATGGTAACACAAAATAGTAGCATTACAAACTCTAATTGTACCATAACATATCTTGGTTTATCCTCAGGCAATGCAGCAGTACATTGAGCAACAACACGCCAGAATGAATCTTTATCTTCGCCGCCTGCAAGACCACCAATAGCATAGCTGTCACAGAATCAAATCAGTCATTTTGACATTTTGAAGAAGGCTTCCTTAATTTGAAGGGCATACATGTTTAGGAAAAATCCAAATATCAGTAGAAGATTACAAACCCAGGTAAATTACGTTCGACCAAGCCTCTAACACATATATCCCTGATACAGAGAAAATTTTCACAAGATTTGAGCATAGATTGGAAGAACAGATGATAAAAGGTATAACAAAAAGGTGAAAAAGTGAACAGATTAATGAAATCAGGTTATTGAGCCAACTTTTTACTGACCTCAATGCTGGATCTAAACCACCCTGCACTATGCCAAACAGGTTCTGCTCATGAGGCCTCTTGTGAGCTTCATTAACATTAGATCTTAGATTGTATTAGAGACTTTAAGAAATTAACATGAGCAGTAACAAAAGTATGTCTAGTTATTTTTGCATGCAGAAGAGTTTTGAATGGTGAAGTGGTAAGGGAAATGCAGTCTATGCAAAAGTATGTCTATGTGTGCACATTGGCTCAAATATTTGAACCACATGCTGCAAAAATTACCTGCTATGCACCTGTCTATCCAACGTAATGTACGATACATTGCCTCTTTGATTCGCGGCCCAGTGATGGTGGTTTTCACAACATCATCCAGGGCCATAATAATGTCTGCTCCAATTCTGTTCTGCAAAAAGTTGTGACAAACTCTCTAATTAGATTTGAAAGTCAAATATGTGGGATGAACCATCAGTATATCAAAGAACCTAAAAGTTGTGAAATATGTAAAAATTTTAACAGAGACAATCTAGGAGATTTGCATACTCATGCTAGAAGAAGAGAAAGTTAATCAGGCTTTTTGTTTCTTATGGGGGAGGTTTTCCTACCTGTATTTGTATTGATTCTTCAGGTGTTAGGAGCATTGGCTTTCCATCCACTGGTGACTGCAAAAGAAAAAGGATAGAAGGAAACGAGACTTTAGTGGCCGAAAGATTTCCCCAGAGAAAGATCATCACAAATTCAGGGAGAGACTCGTGATATAAGCACATAAAAGGCCTAGAAGTAGTTCTATAAAATCTTCTAATGAGACTACACAAATTGAAAGTCAAGGTTTAGTTTTGATCTTACTTTACACAAGAAAGAAAAAGGGATTTACCTGAAATGTGACACCCTTTTCAGTAATGTCAGCCAAATGCAGTAAGGATACCTGAAAACGATGTTACAAATTAACATCCTGAAAGAATCAAGAAAAGTACAAAGTGTGTCTGTGAGACAGAGAACCACTACCATTTGAAAACCACCAGAATCAGTAAGCAATGCCCTAGGCCAGTTCATGAATTTGTGCAGACCACCTAGCTCATCGATGAGCTCAGAAGTAGGACGCAGAGCAAGATGATACGTATTACCAAGTATAATTTGGCAACCAATATCCTCTAGCTGGCTAGTAGTCAAACCTTTAATAGTTCCTACAACCACCGAAAAAATCCATTCTTAGAATCATTTGGAATAATGCATGTTATTGTACATTATAGAATCAAACTCCAATACTCCACCATAAAAAAAGCAAATACAATTAAAATTCAAAAAAACACTGATATTGAAGGCTAAGTCTGCTAAATTTCAGTTAGTTTGGTCTCTTTCAAGAATCAATTTCAATTGTCAGTAAACAATCACCTATTGCCTCGTATGTTCATCTTACAAATTCAACCTTTACATTTGGTACTTAAAAAAGTATTAGGATTGAAACAGAGTCTAACCTTGGGTGCCTACTGGCATGAATAAAGGGGTCTGGCAAAGGAAGTGAGGCAGAGTGAGATGAGCTGCCCGGGCGCGATTGAACCTTCCCAGAATCTGATTTATGAGCACAGAGTAAGAGGGTTTGTCAAATCTCCATTACCCCAATGAGAACAAATGTGAAAAGAGAATCCCATTCATCACAAATACCTCAAAACGGAGAGCCATTTACAGAAACTTTCTTCTGCACAGCAGCAGCAACAGCTATCTGGAAACCCAAATTCCAAAAAAGAAAACACAATCATAATCTTGAAGAAGAACATAATGTCAATAAAAAACAGATGTTTTGGACAAGTCTATATAATAGTCCCAATACTGAAGGAGTGGGGGAAGGAACTAGATAGAGAAGATTAAAATTTACGGAGGAGAATGGCGGAGGAGGCGGTGCGGCGTTGCTGAGCTGCTGAGTATATAACGTTGAAGAGGACAGCCCTAAAACTTGAAGTCTTGAACAATGCGCGCCGGCGTCCAAAACTTAAAGTTGATTGGTTTATATACGGCTAGATTTTTGCAGTATTAATTCCTGGAGGTTTTGGTATTTAACTTTAGGGGATGGATTTTTAAAGCCCCCAAATTTAGTACTCAAAGCCACCAAAAAAAAATTTAGACGATTTTGCCCCTGTCATTTAATAGAGTAGAGAGAGAAAGAAAATGAGCCATTCAGAGGTAAAAATAAAAAAAAACTTAAAAAAAAACCGAACCGGGCAAGAAAACCGTCCCTGTTGAACCGGAGACGCCCAACAAACGCGTCCGGCCATTGAACCGGACGCGTTCATTGCGCATCCCCGATTCAACCGGGACGCGTGTGTTGCGCGCCCGAGTGAAATCAGACCGGACGCACAACACACGCGTCCCAGTTGAACCGGGAATGCGCAATACACGCGTCCGGTTTAATGGCCGGACGCGTTTGTTGCACGTCCCCGGTTCAACCGTGACGCGTGTGTTGCGCGTCCGGTCAGTGAACCGGTTTTTGTTTTTTTAATTTTAATTTCATGCATGTTATGTTAATTTATTTGTTAATTTAATTAGTTATGTTAAGTAATTTAATTAGTTTAATTATATTTATTTATTACATGTTATGTTAATTTAATTAAGTAGGAATATTATTATTTTATGTGTTAATTTAATTATGTTTATTTATTGAAGGTTATGTTAATTTAATTAAGTAAGAATATTATTATTTTATTTGTTAATTTAATTAGTTATGCTAAGTAATGTAATTAGTTGAAATTAGTTTATTTATTGCATGTTTTGTTAATTTAATTAAATAGGAATATTATTATTGTAGTTGTTAATTTAATTAGTTAATTTAAGTGATGTAATTAGTTGAATTTTATTTATCTAGATAATATTTATTTAGGGGGGAATTAAATAATTAAAGAATTTTGTGGAATAAGTATTTAATTAAGTATTGGAAATACAATTAATTAAATATATAATTAATCGCTAAATTAATGAATTCTAGCTTTTTAGGTAGGTATTAGGAAATTTAATTTAGTAAATAATTAATCTATTTACTGTAAATATATGTGTTTTTATTATTTATTATAATTGTATATCTTTTTTAAATGATTGGAATATGTGTTTAATTTAATTTATTATAATGCAGTTTTTTATTGTTATAATTTTATGTTTAATTTGCAGGATTCTTTAGAAGATTTTGGTGGCGATGGTGAAGATTATAGTATATTGTTTACTATAGATGAAGAATTTGCAAAAAATGATGATGTTGTTGCTTGGGTGAAAGGCATGGGCATGGCAAATGGTATGCTAATAAACGTAGTTTCTAGCAAGAAGAAGAATGTTGTTCTGATGAGATGATGTAAAGCGGGAAAGGTGTCAGTTGATGATGGTGAATACTATGCCACATCAAATTCGAAGACACAAATCACTGGGTGTAAATTTAAGTTATATGTGCACTTAGTGCATAGGAAATGGCGCATTCGGGTGTATCCTGGTGAGTTTGGAATGCATAACCATGAGCTGTTTGACGAAGATCATCCCACGAGTGACCTTAGCGATGGAGTGAAACAGCTTATACAGGGTATGTCCAAAGATGGGTGCAGACCGTGTCAGATCATGGCTGCGATTGGCAGGATCTTTCCTAATGAAAAAGTTAACAGACGACAAGTGTACAATTTTATGAAGAAATTGCGTAATGATGGGTTCCCGGTCTTGGGTGAATCGAGTGCCATGGATGTCGCGACGAAGACACTATCGGTGGCCAAGCATCATGGTTACATCATCATGACAGATTGCAATCAGGAGACAGGTGTGCTGACTCGTGTTTTTTTTGCACATCTTGATGCTGTCAATTTATTTTGCAGTTATTTCTGGGTAGTCGGGATAGACTCAACATATAAGACGAACAAGTACAAAATGCCATTGGTTGAGTTTATTGGGATGACGCCGTGCAACCAGAACTTCCTGATTGCATACGCCCTCTTGAGTGACGAGACTGCTGACAGTTATTATTGGGCTTTGAGACAGTTTAGGGATTTGCTTCCTGGTCATCTGTCTCCGGCTGTTATTGTTACTGATCGGGAACCGGGGTTGATGGCGCTGCTGGGTATGGTATTTCCAGATTCACGCCACTTGTTGTGTGTTTGGCACGTTTATGAGAATGTAAAGCGACATCTCAACAAGGAATTGAAAATTGAAGCCAAGATTGCAAATGGTTTTACATATGCGTTGTGGAAAGACGTTGTGGAAGCTAATAATCAGGATGAATACAATAAAGCTGTTGCCGTAATAAACCGTTATTGGCAGTCTTTTCTGAGAGTTCTTAATTATATCCAGAAGACATGGCTAGTGGTTGACTACAAATTCGTCAAGGCATGGACGAATGTTGTGTTTCATATGGGCAACACTACTACAGGTAGGGTGGAGAGCGCGCACAAGTAGTTAAAAATTTGGTTGGAAACATCCACTGCGTCGCTGGATACACTTTGGGCTAAGGTGCACTTGGAAATTCAGAGTCAGCTGACCGACATACGGTAAGTTCTATTTCATTATATTAGAAGTTATATTTATTATAATATTTTTAGTATTTATTTTGTTTTTATGGCATTTTACGTAAAATGTTTTACAGTAAGTGGCTACATTTAGGTACAAACTGGAGTACTCAAGACAGAAAATTGGCACCCATTATTGCGGTTTTCCACTGAACCGCTTGAAGTGTCAAGTTTCACATACTTGTTTGCAAAAGCTGAACACTGAGTGGTCGAAGGCGCAAGAGTGGAAAGAAGAAACGAATGACCGATGCGATCATGTGGTGTACTGGACTTGTCGAATTCCATGTGCGTGTGCCATCAAAAAGGCTGCAGATGCCGGCACATCGATAACTCTTAAGCATATTCACCCATTATGGGCGACCCTTAATATCGGTGAACAGGCTGGTACGAGTGCTCCTGGCGATGTGGATGACGAGGTCCTTTATACCAGACAGTTGATGGAAGAGCTAAACGAGTGTCCTAAGGCAGTACGACGTACTGTAAATAGGGTTCTCCACGATATTATGCATCCAGACCAGTATGGGTTCAAACAACCCGAGGAGGTCAAGAGAAGGAAGGGGCGGCCTAAGGGGGCTAAATCAAAGAAAAAAGCGGAGGCCAACACTCTTGCCCATGAACAATCCCCACAGAAAAAAAGCAACTCCTAATGTGTGGGATTACAGGGACGAGGCGTAATGAAAGTCGACCACAGTTACTAGCGATTCAAGTAAGAAGCGCCCCTCGTCTTCAGGTGGTCGTACAGATGCATCCACAGGTACATGTTAAGAAGTAATTGTTCAGAATCTTATTTATTTATTATCAATTGTTCCAAATAACACTGTTTTCGTGTAATGTACAGAGATCTTTGTGAGTGATATTTCACAGTATGGTTGCTACGACCTCATTCCATGGCCCATTTGGCCATATATTACCAGTTACCTTGATGTTGGTGCCGATGGCAATTGTGGATTTCGCGTAGTCGCGAGTAACATGTTTTTGAGCCAGGGCAATTGGGCGATGGCAAGAGAGGCAATGGCGAACGAGCTAGAACAGAATTGGCATCTGTACACTAGAATCTACGGGTATAAATACTTTTCATTTTCTATGTTATGATGTTTGCTGAACTTGGCAGTATTTGCACAAATAAATGTATATGTAAATGCAGGACGTCCTACCTGGAAGAAGTCCGTCGTATACGGTGGAGTGGACAGGCTTTCGCACCTGAGCGCCATTGGATGTGTGTGACGGATTTGTTCGTAGTTGTGACTATGAACAATGCAATTGTATACTATTACGGTGCAGGGGAAGAGAACCAGTTGCTAAACTCCACATGTTGGACTATACTACCTGTCACTGCACGCGGTGAGGCAACATGTCCGTCATTTGAGATTGGGGTATGTCACCATGGTATTTACAAGCACTTCATTCGGATCAATTTGGACGGTGACTTTCCAGTTCCACCGATCAATAATCGGTGGACTAAGAAACATCAGCCTAGCGTTGCTGGTTGGGAATTACCACTTCTTCCTAGAATTCAAGATTGGTATAGGTTGGTCCCCTCCAATCCTGGACGTTCTATCGGGGATTATGCTAATGATTTCATTGATCTTAGTTTCTTAGATTAGATTCATGTTTGTTTATTTGTTGTGAACTAGATATTGGCTTAATCTAGTATCTAATTTGTTTGTTTTTTTTTATTTGTGAAATAACAAACCTTGTTGGCCATACTAGCAAAAAAAAACCTTACTACACGGATACCAAATAAGCTAACTAATATATAACACACAATTCTATCATACCATAAAAAAAAAAAAACTAAATGCAGTCCAAGAGAGAGAAAAACAAACAAATCCAATACAATAATACAATAATGATCATGGGGCCATGTAATAACGGATCATCGTATCCTGCAGCTTCTCATCATATTCGTCAGCCAGGTCGCGATCGAACACTTTGACCTTTCTAATTAGGTCCCTCGTCAGCTTACTCAATTCATTCATCCACTGAAAACACAAAAACCAAAAAAGGTTAAACTATTTATAATATAGAAATGTATATCTACAAAAACTCAAAAATTAAAAATAGAACTTACATAATCCTGACTGCTCCTAGCTGGTGTAGAGACTGCAGATGGGTCAATTGTCGGCAGCAGAAATGGATGTGAATATTGCCTGTACCATTCAAGGTACCCATCCTCACACTCTCCTACGATGTCACCGATATAATTGTATCTCCATCTGGTCAAATTAAGACACGCTGACTCCGGGAATCTCCTCCAACTACTGAGTGTGTCAACAACAGGATGCTGTACAAAGTACTCGATAGTCCTGGGTCCTCGGAATGCATCATCAGGGGACATGGGCGAACGAGGAATGCTCTGTACGTAGCCAATCTGACGTATACATCTGTCCGGCATGTATGGCTCCTGCAAGTTCCTATACATTATCCACCCACTGTAGATAGTCCTAGGAACTATTCCTTGTTGGCCATGTCCAAATGGCTCCCACTTTACCTGCAAAATAGTATTTAGATTATTTATAAATATAATTTTCAAAAAATAAAATGAAATACAGTCAAATGAAGCAATCAAGTACCTCTAACTCGGTGAAACGGTCAAGACGCTCCCTAACCTGACGAAGACGATCTGGCACAGATGTCGGCCCCGCAAAAGATGGTGGTATTCAGTCATGTACTCTGGGCCTGTCATTACCCCCACGGGTAACTCGCCCTCCCTGTGGGGGCGAAAAATCGGGAAATACTCGTATATCCAGGCCTGCAATAGGGTCAAATAACCACCTAACTGAGTGCACTTTGCCCTACTAGCCATCCCTAACTGACGGTATAGGAACGCAAGCGTAGTATGAGCCCCACGAGCAAATCGCCCGTTCCGGGTTTAACCGGGACGCGTTTCTCGCGCGTCCCGGTCGCGCCGCCGGACGCCTTCCATGGCCGTCCGCGGTCACACAACATTAAAAAAAAAAAAAAATCCTTCCCGCTGAACGCGCACGGAAGCGCGTCCCGGTCGTGTCGCCGGACGGCTTCATTGCGCGTCCGGCGGCCAGAATGAGTTTTTTTTTTTTGTTACAATTTACAAATTTCTTTTTTAGAAAAACGTACCCGTGATGAGATCGGCTCTTTCCCGCTTTGATTCTTCCGTGTTGCCATCAACGGTGGATCAAATTAGACTTCAAATTTGGGTTTAGAAGGGAGGTGGTTTCAAGTTTTCTCTCTTTTTTCCTTTGGTGGAAGTTTGAAATGTGAGGGGCAAAATAGTCCAAAAATATTTACGGTGGCTTTAAGTAGTAAAGATGGCGGCTTCAAAAACTAACACCCTAACTTTAACTTCCCTGAATTTAGCTTCCCTGAAGTTATACGCAATTACCATCCGACCACCTTGTTTAAAGAAGGGAACCAATTTTACTTAGGCTATTAACCAATAAATATATATATATATATATATATTTATATATCTATTACTATATTAGAAACAAAAACCACACTTAAAAGAAAGTAATACCATTTGCCATATGACATTTTCACATCATATTTTTAAAATAAATTTTTTATTTACACATCAGTTTCCTAGACTTAAAAGGCAAATTCAGTCCAAATCCACCACCACCTCCTATTTTCGCCCAAAAAAAAAAAAACCACGACTTCTTAAAAAACACAAATCCTTATCTCCATCTCCACGACAATCGACTCCCTAATCAATTCTTTCTCCACAATTAAAAAAAAAAAAAACAAATTATTCATCAATGATCAATTGAGAATATGTGGTGAAAATACTTCTTTCCTATTAGCATGTTCAATCTTTTCATTAGTGATGATCAACTACATCCTAATCAGATAAAATTTCGACTTCAAAAAATATTCTCTTTACCTCTCAATATTAACACAAAGGGAAAAAAAAAATATCATTGATGTTGCTTTCGATAGTTGTGGTAGTGTCATTACAGATATTAAAATTTAAATTATTTTAAGGCTTTTATTATTTTTTGTTTTTCCCGTTCAAAAATAATGTTATTACTATTATTTTTATGCGTCCACCCGTTACAGCCACCGTAGCCGTTGCCAGATAATATGATGTGATTTCTTATATGGTTAGTTAGCTTAGAATTTTTGTATGATTTTAGTTCTGTTTGAATTGAATTGATTAATTGGGTTTTTGTTACAAAGTGTGGTTTTTTTAATTTCTTTTTTATGTTTTATTCAATTAGAGTGGTTTTTCTTTTTTTAATTATTGAGTCTCAGTTTTTTTTTCCGTATATGGTCAGTTATGAATTGTATTTTTTCTTTGTTTAATTTCTTTTAATTTTGTTTTATACTCCCAGTTAACCAATTATTATTATTATTATATTATTATTATTATTACTATTATTATTATTATTATTATTATTATTTTTGCAAATGAAGCGCGTTTTTTTTTGTGTTCGGGCTTTCAAGAATATACTTTTTAGATTTAGTTTTTGGATTTTTTTGAGTTCCTTATCATATAAATAGTTCAGATCGCTTCTTCTAACTAATTTATGGGGAAGCCTTTTATGAATTTGAGTGGAGAGGGAAGGAATGACGTTTCTACGTTTATTTGTGTTTTTATACATCATCTTTACCTACATGAAAAAAAAATTTCTCAATTTTTAATGGACTCTTTTAACTTACCATTTTTTTATTTGCCATGGTGAGGTGAGTTCTTTTTTGCTATAACTTGAAACATATGCATATTTACATTAATTTTCATTCTCATATTTGTGATCAACCAGTTTCAACAATTAACTAATTTCAAAATCATATTTTTTATATTTTACTAGCTATAAACCTTTGGAAGAAACAGTTCCAACAATTAAACATATACTCTTCAGAGGAAGTTTACTACAAAGCTATTATAAATCTCCAAAACTAATTATTGATTTGGCACGACAAATGGAGAACATCAATAAATCATCTTACTAATATTTAAACTTATTAGGATGCTTTTATATTTTGTGTAACATTTACTTCAAGACATATACTTGATCAAGTTTATTTATATTTAATAAGTAACACTTATAAAACATTTTTAAAATCTTCAAACATTTCTAAAATGTACCGGGCCAAATACACTTTCTTTTTTTGCCAAATACAAACATTTCTATGATCACACTTATAAAACATTTCTAAATTCTTCAAACAATTCTAAAATATATCGGGACAAATACAAAATATTTTCTTTCAAATACAAACATTTCTAAGATCTACAGATATACTGGGCCAGGCTCACGCATTGCGTGACCAGACATCACTAGTATATATATATATATATATATATATATATTAAAGGAGAGTTTTCAATCGGACACATAACATAAAGTTAGATAGGCTAATCCACGTGGCGCAAAATTAGATGGCAGTTTAGATCTGTGATCCGAAAGAAGCGAATCACAATGACAGAAAAATTAGCATGTAGTTTTTCTTTATTGAGTTACTAGGTCCAATTAGGTCTCTTTTGAAAGTATCAGTATATTTACTGGTATTTAAATCTCTGTCTTTTTAACGGTCTCTTGTAAAGGGTAAGTCTGCACTGCCCTGAAAAATTTCTAGTAATCTATAAATTTTCCAGATTCTCACCTGGTTTAATTAAAAAAAAACTAAGTCTAGACACATTAAATTTTAGTTAGTATTATTTTTTAAGATAATTCTATTTAATGTATTTTTCAAAAACAAAAAGAGTTGGGTTACCAAAAATAAAAAGAGATAAGTACTAAATAATTTTTCTTACAATAAAATCTATAACCATATCTGAATACGTTAAACGTATGTTAATATTATTTTTCATATAATTACATTTGATAAATTTTTCAAAAATAAAAAAGATTAGTCACTAAAAAAAATAAAAAGTTACGTTCTGATTCTCTTCTCTTTTTCTCTTCCCCTTCGTCCTCTATCTCTTCCCTCTCCCTCCTCCCGTTCGATCTGAATCTCCTTTTCTTGTCTGAAAGATATACATTGGTATCTCTATTTGTTGAGTTGTAATTCTAGACGGATATTTTTCATTTGTTGGTCGA